GTACTGCCCTGGGGGACATGTATGGGGGTCCGGGTACTGCCCTGGGGGACATGTATGGGGGTCCGGGTACTGCCCTGGGGGACATGTATGGGGATCGGGGTACTGCCCTGGGGGACATGTATGGGGGGTCCGGGTACTGCCCTGGGGGACATGTATGGGGGGGTCCGGGTACTGCCCTGGGGGACATGTATGGGGGGCGGGTTTTCGAACATGTCAGTAGCAGAGGTCGCACGGCTTCCACACACCTTACGATAATCGTACGATCGCGGGATTTCCCGCCATTATCGTACGATTATCGCAAGGCGTGTGGGCACCTTTAAATAGGGTGCTGCAGGGACTTAGCTGTGAGACATGATTGGGCAGAGTCATCATGACTGTGCCCAATCATGGCTCTGAATGTGTACGGAGCCCGGATTGGCACAGTCTTGCACCTGACCGTAGCCAATTACAGTTTCGGAGGGCGCAGTGCATTGTGGGATGTTCCGCGGTCGAACATCCAGCAATGTTCGGCTGGGGGCGGGGATTAGTGGTACTGATGTTGGAGGAGAAGGCCGGGCTCGCAGTCTCCGCTCTAATTCATCCCAAAGGTGTTCTATGGGGTTGAGGTCAGGACTCTGTGCGGCCAGTCACGTTCCTCCCGAGTGATCGGTGTATGGAGCTATGAGGCGCAGGAAGAGCACTTCTATTTCTCAGGATCAATTCCAGACAAATGGTACAATTTTTCAGGTGTTGCTGAGGTACAGGTGACACCATTATGTCTGTGAAGGTTCTCATTCCTCCAGGTCACATGGTATATCTGTAAAAAAAAAAATCAAGGCCACTGGATTTGACTTATTTTTTTACAGAAGTGACTCCAATGATCCCTACGATGCCACAAATCTTCACTCTTGCAGGGCTGAGCTCTGCAGCATAACAGAACTTCTCAGATGAGAGTCTACACGCTGAGATTAATAAATAAAATACGTCCATGTGAGTTTAACCTGAAAAGATTTACTTTCGTCACACAGATCCCTCAACATTTATATATGAAGTTTGTTTTTTGTTTTTTTAGAATTTAGAACTTTTATTTTTTATTAGAGAAACAGAAATTTCATATACAACGTTTTATTTTTGGAGCCCCGGATATTTTTTAGTCCGCTTAGAATTCTTCATGCCGAAATGTTTTTGCATTGTTTCATATATACAATTCTGTATGTGATTCACAGATCCAGCCCGGCTTATATACACTATATTGCCAAAAGTATTGGCCCCTCCCCCTCCAAATCATGTGATTCAGGTGTTCCAATCCCCTCCATGGCCCCCGGTGTATAGGACGAGGCACCTCGGCATGCAGACGCTTCTACAGACATTGGTGAGAGAATGGATCGCTCTCAGGAGCTCAGTGACTACAAGCGCTGTACCATGATAGGTTGTCACCTGTGCAATAAGTCCGTCCGTGACATTTCCTGGCTACTAAATATTCCGCGGTCACCTGTTACTGGGATTATAACAAAAATGTTCCTTCTGAGTATTCAGCACGGGGAGCGTAACATTCCCAAAAAATTATATTTACTGAAAAGGAATTTGTAATCAGACATATTGGGGAAAAACATACACTGTATAAAAAAAATTGCTCATTTAAACACAAATGCAAAGATCGCTCATCTGGTAATAAATTCCCCAAACAAGGATGGAAAAAAAAAATTTCCCCCCCAAATTTAAACAATTCTGTCATCCATTTTTATTTTTACACATTTTTTTGATACTATGACATCATTCCCACTTCCTGCTGAACTATTCTTATCGTTCCGCTAAAATGAAAACTCCGCACGCGGTTTCTCTTCCGGCCACTTCAGTGTTTTAATGCAAATGGTTAGACATTCATGCAAAAAACAAATAAAAAAAATACAAAATAAATTGCAAGACATGCCGGAAAATTAAAGTAAAAAGAGTTCATGAATCCTTTTTTCTTGTCAAAAATGTTATCTTACAATATTTACATACCTCATGCAAAAATTACCCCCCTCTCACCCTTTTTTGCTGTTTATTCACAAAGCATTAGTTTTTTTTTAAATAGATTTTTTTTTTTACTATAGTGTTATTCTTAATGTTTTTAATTTTTTTAACATTTAAATTTGGGCTTTTTTTTTGTTTTTGAATAAACCGTTGAAATATTTTAGTGTTTTCATTGACGGATGAGCACTGCAAAATATATTTACAGGATGGAAATTGTGTAAAAAACAAAAAGGGCGATGGGGTAAAATAATTTAACAAAACAATGATAAAAACAAAACAATGATAAAAACAAAACAAAACAAAATAATGATAAAAACGAAACAAAACAAAACAAAACAAAATAATGATAAAAACAAAACAAAATAATGATAAAAACAAAACAAAAACAAAATAATGATAAAAACAAAACAAAACAAAATAATGATAAAAACAAAACATAAAAATGATAAAAACAAAGACAACAAATGGAAAAATTAAAAACAAAAATATGGCTATGTACAAAATGAGGTAAAACGAGAACATTAGAGGGCTCTCTATATATAATTTATATATCATCTTTTATTTCAGACGCATTAAAATATTAAATATTTATATAATTCTTTAAACACATTCACTTTTTTACGTAATATCCACTCTCATCATAAAGGCGTTTGGTATCTTTTCTCTCATTTTGATGAATTTCCTTCATATATACAGTCTGAGGATTTTATTTCACAACAAGATCTTGACGTGAATTTCGATTAAATATAGAAGTCTTTTTTTTCCTGTATAATTATAAAACGACAATGGAAAGATCTTTTTGTTAATACTCGGGTACTTTTTGCATATTGAGGACAAAGAATGCCGTCGTGGTTACCTGGGGCAGTCCTCCATCCGGCAGAGGGACCGCACCGGGGAGGTGAAACACAAATACCCGACAGGCTTTCCCCCGACGTATCGGTTTTGATCTTTTTGGGCAAACCCAAGAAATGTTTTGGATCCCCCCATCCCCCGGGCCATAGACGGGCACTCCATTGGAGTTCCCAAGGACGGCACAGGAGGCTCCTGGTGGAGAAGCCTATGTGATGATATCAAGGCCGTTGACGTGATCCTGACCTGGCTGAAGGTCTGATCTAAAGCTGGGAACCGTCACCAGTGGAAGTCTTTGACTCCGGCCGTATGCCCATCAATGGGGCAGGATATAGAACGGACTTCACATGGGCCGATCAGAGGGGGTTCCTTGCACAGATCCCCTCCTGATCG